CCCGCTAACCGCTAACACCGCCTGCGCCTCAGGGTATGCACGGAGGAGTCTCGGGTCTGGACAGCACCAAGGCAGACGGCACCCACTCTCCTTCCAGATCCCAGCCCGGCGGGACCGGCAAGCGCTGATGGGCTGAAGGTCCTAGGGACACCGGGCGGCCAGAGCAGGGCCATGGGCCCGCTCCCGCTAACACCGCCTGCGCCTCAGGGTATGCACGGAGGAGTCTCGGGTCTGGACAGCACCAAGGCAGACGGCACCCACTCTCCTTCCAGATCCCAGCCCGGCGGGACCGGCAAGCGCTGATGCTTTGAGGGCTGAAGGGATCGGTACTCGGACTGCTCAGTACTGGGAATGTTGCCACTGTGACTAAGGAGCTGGGCTGAATTTTAACGACGTAATTTTAACTGAAATTATTTCTATTTAAGTAGACACAGGTAGCTCCCTCGCTGTTAGCTAAGGTGAAGGGTGCATGTGCACATGTGTGTGGGCTCAGGAACACATCCGATCAGGATCGCTGTGCCGCACGGTCAAGGGTCACATTTATTCAGCTTTATAATATGCTGAGCCCTGTTCCAGCAGGTCACTGCAGGGACCCCCTAATCCATACAGCCTGGACGTGGTACCTGCACGACCAGCTCTGCTGCAGAGGCAGAAACGTGGCAGGATTTCAGTAACTTGCCCACGGCTGCTGTCCCAGAGCTGGACTGATGCCTAGGCCCCGAGGCAGGGCCACCCTCGTGCCCTTCCGTCTGCCACCCATGGCAAGGGCCAAGACCTGCACAAAACACTGAGGCTTGAGGTCGCACCCCTGCCAGCTGGTGCCCAGGCTTCATCCTGACAGCAGCTGGGGCCTTGAGACAAGGACTGTGGCATTTAGGGTTCTGCATGGGTACAGCATCGGAGTGGTGAAGATGGCAAACAGGAGTGGCCGGCAGCGGGGCGCAGGCAGAGATAACCCTGGGGTGGGATTTGTCCCCCTCCAAAGCCCACTGTGGCTACTAGCATTAGCCGGGTGGGGACAGGACAGGCCATCCCTGGCCCCCCACCCTGAGGCCCCGCCGGGCCTTGCTCTCCACCTCTCCCTCCTCCAACCCTGGGCCGAGGTGGGGACAGCTGTCACTGACACAGCCGCCCCTGCTGCCAGCCTGTGGTCCCATCCGGTGTCTGTGCTGAATTCCCCGCATGGGCAGAGCCTGTCCTTCCTCCCCTCGACCTGGGCCCAGCCCAGGTCCTCAGACTGCCAGAGCACAGCTCTGGTCACCGGTGCAGGTCACCGGTGCAGCTGGCCCGATGGGGGACAGGGGGAGAAGGGGCTTCCTGGCCCCAGCCTCCATCTGTGACGTAGAGCCTCACTCAGAGGGCCAGGGGCTGCGGGGCACCTTACCGGGGGAGCCGAGCAGGATGTGCACCAGGTCCTCGTAGAGGATGAGGGTGGCAGGCCGCTCAGGGAGCAGGCAGAGGCTGACGGCTGCGTACACTGCAGGGTGAGGGCCATCAGCTCCAGCCACCACATCCCAGCCCTGCCGCTGCTGCCTCGGGGAAGCTCCCACCCCAGGGCTGTGTTGGGAAGGGGCTGATGGGAGTCAGGTGCTGCCCGCCCGCACTCACAGGGCAGCCTGTCCACGCGCCAGGGCACCGAGTTGGTGAGGAAGCCAGGGCGGGCAGCAGTGACCAGCACCCAGGTGCCCAGGTGGTAACTGAGTGGCAGGGTGGCCACGCCATCAGAGTCTGTGGTGCCAGTGGCCAGCAGCGTGCGGTTCCCAAACACATCCACTGAGGCCCGGGCGAGGGGCACCAGCTCTCCACTCGCATATACCTGCACCTTGATCAGGATTTCTGTGGGCGAGACAGGCACCCCAAGGTCAGTGGGGGCTGTTGGCTGGGAGAGTTCTGAGGTCTATGCCACAGCAGAGGTTATGCTGGGACAGGCAGAGCCCAGGCCCTCACACTCCTAGCCCTTCTCAAAATGTTGAGACAGGGACTCATTAACTAGCTCAGGTGAGTCTCAAACTTGCAATCCTCCTGCCTCGGCCTCCAAAGTATCTGGGATTCCAGGTGTGCACCACCATACCCAACCAGCAGAGGACATACTGTAATGAGTCAGTATTTATTTATGCATTTGTTTTCGGTGCTGGGAAGTGACCCCAGAGCCTCAAGCATGCGCATTGGCTGGCCTAGCCCATCCGGGTGCATCTCTGGGCAGGGATGGACTAGGTCTGACCACACAGCTTCCACCCACTCCATAGTGAGGCTCAGACTTCGGGTCACTGCGGTAGTTACAGAAGCCCGGGGTCTGAACCTGGAGTCTGTGGAGGATATGAAGTCTTGGCCATCTGACCATAGAAGGTGCATGTCCCACAGCAAAGAAGGCTGACTCAGGAGGGTGGGGTGTGCATGAAGAGCGGAGAGCTCGACTGAGCAGTGTACATGGATGGATGCCAGTCTTAGGAAACTGAGGCAGAGGCACTGAGGAAGGGGTCCTTCCTCACCCGTACATACCCAGAGGCCCCAGCACAACCCCTGGGATTCAGGCATACACGTGGCCAGGCCCAGACAAGCCTCCCTCCCCCTCCCCCTCCTCTAGAGTTGGTCAGTGGCCATCTGTCACCATGACAACACCTTGTCCTCCCCGGGGATCAGGCCCAAGCTGAGGCCCGGCTTGGGGAAGCATCTGGGGGCCCAGACCCTGGAGCCTGGGGTGCAGGGGACAGGCTGCCCAGCAGGCGTCCTGAGCTGCTGGTGTGAGGGCTCCCGCCTAGCCACCCCGCCACTGGGCTCCACGCTCCCCTCCCAGGCCTCAGCCCACTTGGCTGCCAATGCCGGGGTCACGGTGGGGGCCCAAGGGCAAGCGGGGAGGCTGGGTGCTTCTGGGAGCCTGCAGCTGAGCAGGGCTTGGGGAAGCCTCCACGTGGGGCCTGTGCTGGCAGCGACAGGTGTGATGC